TATTCATTCAATAAATGTTTGGAGTGTCCTAGGGGAAGAGACTATCTGTTTAATTTATCCCCATACATCAAACTTTCAGCACAGTTGTTATCATATACTCAGTGTTCACTGAATTGTTTTTTAATATATATTAAGTTATTGCCTGCCCTGGCACTGTCCAGAACACAGAGCTACTCTACACCAGGTTATGACCATGAAGAAACTTACAGTCATTTTGGTGTTAAGAAAGACAACTAGAGCTGGGACTGTAGTTACATGGTAGACTATTTGCTTAGCATAGGCAAGACCCTGGGTATGAAATCCAGCATCAAAAAACAGACTACTATGTTAACAAAACTGAATTAAATTTTTAGTTGACACTGTCCTGATGTTAGGAAGCAGTCTTGAGTTGAGTTGAATAGGTAGAAGAGCTTCAGAGTGCAATGCACTAGCTAGCAGGAGGAGACGTCCATGAAGTCCAATGGTTGTGATGGAGGCGGAGACAGCCAGGGTCTCAGGCACAACCCAGCGGCACTAGGACATTAGGAGGCAGCGACATGGTACCTGCTTTTACATGCAGCTCTGGTTTGGATCCCTTGTGAAATTAAGTAGTAAATATCCCCCAAAGATCCCTAACATCTCTCAGCTGAAATGAATGCTGAAAACCTGAAAATGTCCCCCAAATGTTAGAAAAACAGCTAAAAGCCTTGGGCATTTTTTCTAATGAGCTCTATTTTGTCTGTTCCTCTTCAATCATCATCTTCTGGGTAACAAGAGAAGCACAGGGGCTCAGCGATACTCAAAGGCCTTTACTAGGAAAGGCTGGGGGATGTCTCCTTGTGTATACTCTTTCCTCAAGTTTACTAGATTCCCTTTCCTGACTTGACTTTGCAGCGGTCCCTCCTTTGCCTTGTTATTTTCTCTTTCCAATGCATACCAGCGCCAGAAACACCAATTCTCTTAACAAAAAGGAGGATTTGCTTGCCTGAAGAAAATGCATTCCTGAAATACTTTAATCCATTTCCACCTATCCTAACAATAGCCCAGAAGCTGTTTTGTGTTAATTCAAATATTCACATTCTAGCTGTTCAACAGCTTGGTTTACAGTTAGAGAGAAGGGGTAAATTTTAATTAATATTTTAGGCTCTTGATTCTATTCCTGGATGGAAACAATGGCACAATATGTTTCCTAAAATTCTTATCCTAGAAGCAACATCTTACTTGAACACAAAGTGTGTTTAATAGATATTGGCATAAGTGTTACTCAGGGACATGTTAAAGAAGTATAAAGTTGAACCATTGGAAACGAGAACATATAGAGAGAAGGAAACACTCCCCAAACTTGCTACATTTTTGCTTTTTCACCAAAAAAGTAGGAGGCATTTTCCGAGGGCCTCATGATACAAATCAGAGTTACTTAAATACTGAAGCAGAATTCACATGAATTCTCCTTTCCTTTTGCATAAATCCTTGCAGATAAAAGCTGTGTCAATTATGAAATGTTTTAAACTTCCCTCAAAGCCTTAAACACCTAAATCAGTTTGGTAAATGAACATATTTGTAAGGAGCAAAAATAGGAGGGAAAGGTTTCCTACTGAACTGTTAAGAGCAGCTACCTCTTGAGTGGAGGGGGGAAAAAATCACTCATTAAATTAAATTGACAACATGCTTCAACTTTCTACGTGCTCTAAAATGTTCCCTCTCCAGGAGGATCAGGATTCCAAAACCATAATATCCACAGAGCTTGGAGTAACAGTTTCTGAATTGGATTTGTCAGCTACAGAATTTTAGAAGATTTCCAAAAGGCTTGCTTCAGAAAATGAGCAACTCTCCATGTGAACAATTTCTGTCTGCATCAGGCCTAAACTCACACCACTCTTCTTCTTCCTACCCATTAATATTCAGGACCAGAGTGTCTTCCTGTGGGTATGCGTTGGGCAGAGGAGAACTCTGGGGTTGGAATAAGCTGGTGGGCTCTCAACCCTCCTGTGGCAGCTTGGAGAGAGCTCTGACAGAGGAGGATGGGCAGAAACATGGATAAGTACTTGGGCACCTAAAAATTCAGTCACAAGTGCCTGGCAAAATGCTGCTTTCAATGTGAACGTTGAAGATGTGTCAACATTTAACAGCGGTCTTCTCTTATGGGAAAGAGTCACTTGGCAACTTCTGTATTACAGAAAGGCTTTGACTTGTCACTTCTGTCTGGCTTCTTTGCAGCAACGGATCACGCTGAACTCTGACACTGAAATGTTCATCCTTTGGTTTTGGACAAACTCCACTCCCTGGTTTTTCTTCTTCCTTCTTTATTGCACTCTTTTCTGCCTCTTTCATTTGTCTTTCCTCTTCTCCTACATGAGGGATCCCCAAGTTCTGTCTTGGCTTTTCCCTTCTCGCTTTATACTGGTCTTCCTTCTCTCACCACCTTAGACCACTCTCACCGTTCCAGACCAGTCTGGTGGCTTCAACTGTTGTTCCGTGCAGAGTCATAGTGACGGCTGTCACTTACTACGTCCTTACATTCTCAGGCAGTTTTGACACGACACTGAGCTCACAACTTTCCTGTGAGAGATACAGCAGTTTCTCCACTTTGGACGAGGATACAGAAGCTTGTGCAGGTTTCTGGACTCACTTTATATCCAAGACCACCAAGAGAAACAAATGGGAGAACCCAGGTTCCATTTTTCTACCTCCAAGACTCATGTTGTTGCTACTCCGGTGTTCCTTCGGCACCATAATTCTTTTTTTACTTAGGGCCTACTGATGGTTCAGATCACTGGGTTTCACTGGGATACTTTCATAGCTGCATATAACACACTTTGCTTCTAGGTCTCTAGTCTCACTTCAGAGTCAGCAAGTCATCTTCATGGGCCAGTTTCTCTGCCTAAGAAACAACCCTTCTGACACTGACGCACCACCCTCCTCCCAGCAGCCAGGGTCACAGGCGCAGGCGTCTGCGGCACATTTTGCACCCTTACATCTCCCCAGCTCCTCCACGTGCCCCTCCCCTCTCTAATCTCAGACACTGCTGCATATCCTCTCTGATGTCATCTTTTCCCTTCTGAATCAGCTTACACATCAGTACCTGACTGTTGTTCTAGATCACACTATTCCCTTACCTATAACCTTCACTGGCTTCCCATTGCTAATGAAATAGCTCCCACATGCTTGTACTTACTGCTCTAAAGTATGATCTACTTTTCCTCCCTATCACTCAAATCTGCCTTAGAAGTAGACTAAGTCCCACTGAAACTGAGCAAGTAACGACCCCCCAAGTGTTTGAGTATCCTGCTTCTATGCCTTTGTTTATGCTCCTTCTTCATGTAGAACTCTCACTCTTACGCAGCAGACAAACCCCATTTGCACAAACCCTCCTCTGTCGGTGTAGTCTCCAGCAACTCCCCTTCCATTAATTCCCCTCCCAGTTGAATGCCATTGTACATCTTTAAACCTTCACAGATTTCCCTTTGTCCAACTCTTGGAGAAACTTGGTATAGTCTACCTTTGCTTCTTTCTAAAATTCCCTTTCCTCTACTGTGAAGCACTAAGTTCCCTGGTAGATGGAGACTGCATCAGCATCTTTGCTGTATTCCTTGAACTTTTCAGACCAAAAGACAATAGAAGCCAAATAAATATATATCAATTAAATTTACTCAATAAAATATAGCAATGTGAGGTCACATTCTACATGTGACCTGGTCCCCCCATGTTCCCCACAAGCAGAAATGAAATGTTTCTTACAAATGACATCAAGAATGTGTGAACACTAAGTATGAATGCATACCCTTAAGATTATCTTGAAAATAACTGTCCCCACCCACCCACTATGATTTAGAAGAGTAAGAAGGCAAAAAGGGAAAGGGGGGAAAAAGAGAAATAAGGTCAAGTTCTGCTCACTGTCAAATAAAGATTACAGAGAAAACAATTTACAGTCACATAAAAATTAGGAACAGCATGAAAAATTCAATTTATATGGAGCTCTCTTGGAACACATCAATACCGACCAGAATAAATTATCACTGCCTGTATTAACCTGTATTATCCATACGTCACCCTGCAAACATGTTTTTGGTTGCTTCTGCTGTTGTGTCTGTGCTCCCTGAGTAGCCAATAAGCTCTCAGAAGGAAAGAGAGCCCTTTCGTTAGCTTCTGTCTGCTGGCCCTTTGGCGCAGGATGCTAAATACTATACCTAAGGCCTTGCAGCAAGGTGGATCCTGCCTCCTTTGAAATCTATTTCTCTGATAGTTAACACAATTTTGTAGGATGATTTTTTGAGAAAAAAATATCCAATAGATAACCTATACTATCAGGAATTTATATAAAAGCAATTGTAATGACTAAATGTGTACCTGGATACAGTAAAGTTGTAACTTAAAACTTCCCTCTAGGCCAGTTAACTTTAATTTTGTATGAGACAGAAGAAGCTTCAAGTCATAGGCAACCACATTCTCTGTGCTTATTTTAATGAGGCACTATTAGCAACTAGCTATGGCAAGATCAATACAAACCCACAATCAGTGCTGGTCAGTCAACCCAAGGAGTCCACTGTCAGGAACCTCAGCTCTTGTGTTAGGGCTGAACATCATCCACTTCTCACACACAATTTAATTTCTTAAACTCTTAATTTCTGAAGTTCGAGAAATTTCTTCAAGTGTGACTCTCTGTTCATACTTATTTGTGGGAAAGTTCTAGATTTTCAGAGATCAGCAATGACAGAAGGCATGAGGTCAGAAGGTGACAGACATCCCCGAGACGGTGAAGGTCACTGCCTGGAGAACCCCTCCGTAGGTATCACCTGTGCACTTGAGAGTTACATTTAGTTGAGTAACCAAGAAATCTACTGGGCACTAGTGAATGATCTAGGCAATCTGGAGGTTCTGCAGTGATTGACAGACCTATTTAAAAGTTCAGAAACAACCACACTGCTTGCTAAAAGCTCTGCATTGTGGGTACAGGGAAGGGTAGAGAGGGTAGAAGCATACAAAATACAATACAGTCACAGATTTAAACTCTGATCACTCACCACAATCATTTGAGCCACATAACTCTCAGGTCCAGTGTATTCTGTTGGGTCCTTAACTTTCACCAGGACAATGAAGTACAAATAATGCCACATGTTGTGTTCTGACTTAATGTGCTCCTCAAACGAAACAGTTTTATTGTCAAACTTGTCCCTTTCAAGTCCTGCAAAACACAGGAAATACAATACATGTACTCTGTCATCTAATCAGCATTTACATCTCAGCATAAAAACAAAACACAACCATTATGGTGAAAAAATGCTTTATGCAAGAGTAGGCCAATGTAAAATGTTATGATTAAAAACAGTACAGTACACAAGATCAAGACCTCCAGAAGAAAGGCCATGGTTTATAGATTCCTTCTCAACTAACATTTATTCCCCCGCCCCTGGATCCTGCAAATGCAGTCCTATTATAGATGTAAACTTTACAGGTAATTTTAAATATAGCCATATCCAAACTGTCAAATTGAATTGGACCACAAGTCTAAGGAAAAGAGGTAGAATGGATGGTGCGTGAAAAGGCATACTTGCTAATCAGGACAGAAAAAAAATCTTAGTTTATTCAAGAATTGGGTTAAAAGAGGGAAGGCAGGTGAGAGCCATCTCTTCAAAACCACTTGCAGTCAGTGAAAGGCACACAACAGAGACAGCCAGCCAGGCTAGGAGGGTGATGGGGACCTAGACTATTCTGGGTAGACAAGCATGCTCTGGGCACTTTGGGAAGGGAGACGTCTGTTCAGTTTCCAGGGTGTATTTTTCAGCCTCTGGAAGGACACTCTGAAGCAAGAGTCAGAGTAGTAATATCTTACTTTTCTCACAGAGTTGAAGAGTGGATGAAAGGAAATGAATGGATGTGAGGAAAATCAACGATGGAAAAATAACTTCTAATGCCAAGTAAAATGGGTGTTGGCGTAGGGTCTGTCGTTTCAGCTCAGATACTGGAGAAGAAATCAGGAAATTGATTCCAACCCTGGCTACTCTTTCCCTAAGCATTTTTTTCAAAGGCCAATGAGGCATGTAGAAGATCCTTTAAATAGTAAGATGCAAAGCACAATAAATTAAAAAAACGTGTCTCCAACAAAGGGGTGGCTTCTGAACTTATGTTATTGGATATCTTTATGGAAAACACAGGAAAATTCATCTGCCTGATGGCTATGCCTCATCTTCTACGACCTATCACCAGCTCAGCATGCCCAAAATAAATCCAGCACTCTTCCCAGCAACTACTCCACCCACTTTTCTCTGTTCTTTCAGGTGCTCGATCCAAAAGCTTCTCAACCCCTCACACACCATATCTAATCCATGCAGAATTGCTTTTGGCTCTACCTTCAAAACATATACAGAATCTGACCACTTCTTACCACCTCTGCTGTGGTCACTGCAGTCTGAGACACTCCCGTCCCTCATAGGGACCCCTGCACCAGCCTTCCACCCACCCATGTCTAGCTCCGTCCTCCACAGCCCATTCTCAGTGCAACAGCCAGCAGGATCCTTCAAAGACCTAAGAAAGATGGCGGCTTCTCTCCTCATATTCTCAGTGTGAAGACCAAAGTCGTTACACTGGCCCACAAATAGGGCTGCTAATGATGTCCAGAGAAACAAGAACTTCAGGTGAGCAGTGAGCTTTTTTAGTATGAGTGTGTCTCATGCAACATTTATTTGCTAAATCCTGTGATTGGGCCGAGTCACCACCCTCGTCTCCTGCTCATCTCTGCAGCTCGTTCCTATGCAGCCTCACTGGCCTCCTTGCTGCTCCTTGGACAGAGAATCCAGCTTTCAGGGCTCTGGATGGGTTGGTTTTTCTGGTCACAAAACTCTTCCCCCAATAATCTCTTGTGACACATTTATCTTCAAGTGTTTTCTGAAAACTCAACGTGGCTTAACTCGAGCATACTGTTACACACGGAATCAGTCCCTTTTTTGCTGACACTCTTCATCATCTTTTCCTTTCTCTTCTCTTTTCTACAGGTTTTATCACCCTCTCACAGGGTAAAGACAGCCACCCGAAGTTGTTCAGTTAGCGTGGATCTCAATTTGGTAAAGGGGCAAAAATGAGTACAAATACAGGCTGCTTGCTAAGCAGTACTGAAGAGAGAAATCTCATTTTACACAGAGACGTAGGTAAAAATTTATTATTTATTATGTGTCTCTTCTCCCAATGGGACATAAAATCCTCCCAGGCAGATACATTTGTCTCTTTTCTTTATCAGTGGTCCCAGCAGCTTAGAATGGTGTCTGACACTTAACAAAATAGAGACTGAACGAATGAAGGATCTTTCACTAATAAAATACAGTCCTACTAAGAGAGCTATATAATAAAAACCAGATAATGACAAGTATGGATAAGGATGTGGAAAAACTGAAACCCTCATACCCCGCTAGTGGAAATGGAAAATAGTGCAGCTACTTTAGAAAAACAGTTTGGCATTTCCTAAAAAGGTTAAACGTAGAGTTAGCGTATGACTCAGCATATTTCACTCCTAGGGATCCACAAAAAAGAAATAAAAATATGTATTCACACAAAAATCTTCACATGAGTGTTCACAGTAGCATGGGAAACCACTCAGATGTCTACCAGTTGATGAAGAGAAACAAAATATGGTAAAGTCATACAATGAAATAGTGTTCTTTTGCAATGAAATATTGCTCTAATACATGGTGAAACATGAACCTTGAAAGGATTATACTTAGTGACAGGAGTCTGTCACAAAAGACCAGATATTTTGATTCCACTTATATGAAATGTTCAAAACAGGCGCATGTATAGAAGTAGAAAATAGATTAGTGAATGTCTAGGTGTAAGAGGGGTGGAAACTTGGGGAGGGGATGGGGGCTGCAGAGTATATTTCTTTTGACGGAAAAAAAAAAGTGAAAATGTTCTACAGTTGATGACAGTGATCTATACGTAACTACAAATCTGCTAAAAACCACTAAATTACAGACATTAAATGAATGAGTTACAAATTATGTGAACTATATCTCCGTAGAACTACTAATTGAGAGAGAGAGAGGGAGAGAGAGATTAAAATAGAATTTCCCAGAACTCAATATAAACACCTACTGCTTATAAGGTAATAAGGCTATCAAAAGGTTCCTATTATCAATTAATCCATACTAAGGTAGAGGAAGCAGACAACTTATATTCTGAAGTGTAAAATTTGCCAAGAAAGCAAAGGAAATACCCTTTGAAAGGCTTCACAGAAGTATAAAGCTTTGAAAAAAAAAATCTCACCTTGGAACCTGATTATAGCAAGTAGAGAAAAAAAACGAATGGTAATAAAAGGTATTTAATTTTTATTGAGCACCTATTGATGCTGACAATTTATAAAGATGTCTAAATGCACTATCATAATTATAATAACCCAATATGACCTTTAAGGATGTGAGGAAATACTCAGAATGATTCAATAAATGTCTCAAGTTATCTCATCTAGTTAGTGGAAAAGTCAGTCAGTATTTAAAGAAAAGTATTTCTGACCCTGAAGCCCACGTCCTCTTGCCAGGAAGGAAGATAACCTCTTCGGGGGAGTGGCAGTTCCTTTCGTGTGTCTAACAGAGAACCCTTGGAAATTAACACAGAATGGCATTTGGGGCACAAACCACAAAGAGCTTTAAATTCAAAGCTATGGCATCTACCCTTTATTCTGAAGGCTTTTGAGTGGAGACTCAATCTAAGAGCAGATGTGCGTGCTCTGGTTAGCGGGATGGGCGGAGTGCTGCATGGAATAACGGTATTAGGGCTAGGCATCAGGGACAAGGCGGGAGCTCAACAGTGTTGGAGTTTAGGATTTGAAGTGGACCGTCTCTCACACCTAAGAACACAGAGTCTGGGAAGTTAAAAGTGAGTGATGCGGTTGAGCTGGAATTTGAGATATAAATGATAAAAAAAAAAAAAAATGAAAAAGCAGGTATGGGGTAGGGGCAGCGTGTGAAGCACCTTCCATGCCAGGAAAATGATAAGCTTTGGAGATTTAGACTGCGCAGAGTTATTGAGGGCTTTTTGAAATGATGACTTCCACATGGAAACATGAGTCTGGCAGCAACGGGCAGGTCATTTGTTCTGATACATGGTAAAACATGGACCTTAAAAAGATTATACGTAGGTGATGGAAGCCAAAGCCAGTCTGAAAATCCCAAGCATGGTTGTGGGACTATGTGGATGGAGTTTCACTAGCCCATGGCACCGGGTAAATCTGGAAGAAGAAGGAGATGCTAAAGATGATGGTGGAGTCCCCGGCCCAGGTGGCTGAAGGTAGGCTAGGATACCATTAACTGCAGTAAGTCAGTGAGGATACTGAGCTGGGCCAGAGGAGAGAGCCAGAAAGACAGGATGGCGTTAGACATGGTATGGCTGGCTGCCAGCAAGACAAGCCTTTCCAATGTCCGGTGAACAGATGAAAATACAGGGGGAATCCTGGGAAGGGCTGGGAGCTGGAATGTACATTACTTACAAGACTAAAAAGGAGGAGGGTGGAGATAAGAACACACAGTTAATGACAAAAACCAAACCTCTTTCTAGGGCGTGGGTGAGAAGCAGTAAGACTCTGCGTTGAAACCTAACACAAGCGCAATAGGAGGTAGGATGAAAGGTAAGCAGGAAATTGATAATGGAATTGGATAAGAACTTTTAAACTTGGCAGTGAAGAGTATTATGATGTGTTAAGGAATTTATAGCCATCGGCTTTTGCATAACTCTGAAAAGCCAAAGAGAACTCTGACAGTGAAGGGAAGACAGTATCGGGGCTCATGATTAAAGGATGTACTAAATACGCTGTCTCTGTGTTTTCTTGCTACATTATGAGGGACAGGATGAGGCTCTCATCCTACTGGTCCCTCCAAAAAAAGCCTTTTTTAGAAGTAGTGCACCTGACATCATCGTGATCATAATCATGAAGATACGAGCTTACACGGAGTAGCATCAAAGACCAAAAGTCACACAGAAAGGTTTCCAAAGACACTACCTTGTCTCCTCATGGGACTTGCCCTTCCACCCAATGGTTCTGCCCCACATCACTACACCTGTCGACCCAGATCGGTCCCCAGGGTCAGCTGTCCTTGAGTTAGACCTTGACTGTGACACTGGAGAATCGCATAGCTCAGTGAATTTTTGAAGTAGCTTGGGTCTGAATCCTGGTTGTACGGCTGACCAGTCAGATGATGTGACCCGTACCTCTGTTTCCATATTTATAAAGAAGTAGCAATATACATGGGACACAGCACTTGATTGTCAGGGCAAATTTGTTTTAAAAAACCAAGTAAAAAGCCACAGATAGTAAGCACTCAGCAAATAATTTAAAAATTTTTTCGTGACAGTGATACAAGAGAAGTACATGGCCTCCAAATAGGTAACGCATATGAGGGTCAAGGGCAGAGGAGAAGGGAGGGATTGATTCTTCTTGGAGCGGTGATGGATCTGCTGAGAAGAGACAGCGGGAAAGAACCTCTCAACCTATTGTGAATAAATGGAAGTAGTGACAGGTTTCATGTAGACAGGAGAAAGATTAGGCAGGACTTCATTCATTTTTTCATAAAAGTACCGTGTTTATTTCTCTTAACACATTGAAAGAGTGCCTTCTTTGGCTTCTAGGTATGCTCCTGTCTTCCTCAAACTCTCGAATATTGTAGGTCATCCTCCTTCGCTACATCTCAACCGTGCCTTCTCCTGCCTAATCCAGACACAAACACAGAAGACTCCGGTTTCTGTCTCAATTTCCTTCTAGCAAATCCTTTCTTAGCAATTATGCAACCTGCTCTACCTAAAATACCAAAGCTTCCTAAGTGAGAACTGTAAAGGCTTTTTCAGTTCTGGTTATTAGCCTTCTCTGCTTTGGAAGAGCTGATTATTAATTCCTCTCTTCCCAAAGTTTTCCCTTGTCACTTCCCAACGCCACGCCTCCCTGGTTCCCTCCACATCATTGCACTTGGTGCTCTTAGCATCTTGGTGTGTGATTCTCTTTCTCTCCTGACTTTTTGAAGCTGCTGCTTTTCATGTGTACCTCATCAGCTCCTCTTCTCACTTGGCAGCCTTCGACTGCGCTCCAGACTTTACACCATACAAAGACCAAGGCTTCCACAGTCACCATCTCAGTACAGAGATATCCTCTGAGGCTCAGACTCATACACCAGCCTGTGTTCACGCACACCTCAAGTTCAACATTCCCAAAGCTAGACCCAGCATATGTCTGCCTAAAATGGTTTTTAAATCTATTCTCAACTTAATCATCTGTTGCTATTACCATCCACCCAAGCATCTAAGCTAGCTTTCATCTTGATTCTTAACCATCAAGATTCTAAAATTCTATCATCCTAGTAACTGTGGACTCTGCCTTCCGTCCTTAATACCGCTGCCAATTACCATTCTGACTCAGGCTTTCATTACTTTTTTGTCACTGTGGCAATAACTTCCTACGTTGTTACTCTTTCTCCAGGACTGTCCCCAGATAAAGGACCTGCCACAGTGCTCTAAAATAAAAATTAGGTTTGCCATGCCCTGGAGCCCATGGAATGAAGCCCAAGCTGCCTAACCTAAAAAGCCAGGCATGACCTGGCCAAGGTCTCCTCATGGCATCCCTCGCTCTGAACTTCACACGCGGGGACACTGTGCTGCTCAGAGGAGGTGAACACACTCTGTGCCATGCTCCATGCCAGCCTTTGCTCACCCTGGCTGTTCAGTCACTACCCACTTCGATCTGGCCAACTCCTTATCATCTCCGACCACTGGCTCCAGCTTTATGTCTTCTCAGAAGCTTTCCCAACTCTTTGTCTGAAAAGCGGCTCCTCATCTGGGTACATGAAACTCCCTGGAAGGTTCTCCATCTTTTCCCTTGGCACACAAGGCAGTGATGCTCTTTAGCATGCGTGTCTCTCTTAATAAATTATGAACAGCCCGAAACGGGACACGTCTGCCTCACATAGGTTTCCCTGGAACACAGCATATTATTGGACATAATTCCCAGGTACACCTCTAACTGCTGGCCAAATGAAGGAAGGGTCTGGAGGAGCCATGGAGGGGAAGATGGTGTCAAAAAAGATGAGTCAGGAGTCAAAGGACTTATTGCAAACCAGTTTCAATTCTAGAGTATAACACCATGACGAAGTCTGATGATTATTTTATGGATTCTTCAGCCCAACATGGAAAAATGGAGAGTGGCTATAACCAGAATTAGTGATCAGCCAAAAAGGGAGAGGGGTTCGAGGGTTCAGAAGACCAGCTGGAGAGACGACTGCAGCTGGAAAGAGCTGCTGGACAGAGTGAATAGGGGAGAGTCCAAGGAGAAGGATGATAACAAAGAGAAGGCTGGGTAGGCCTGAGATGACGGAGGTGAGGGGTGAGCGGTGTGTGTGTGTGTAGATAGGGGGATTGATTTAAAACTGGGAGAAGGTCCAGTTCAGAATCCAAAAGCAGTGATGTCAGTGAGCAAAAGCTCAAGCTGCTGAAAAAAAAGCATCTTTGGATTTGTAGTCTAGCAAAATAAAACAACAATTTGTCATATAATCAATATGTTACTGTGCTTAAAAACCTGTTTGCCACTTGGTGAAACCTTTTGGTATTCTGCATTGCATTCTATCATCAGAGAATCATATAAACAGCAGAAATTATGGCAGGATATCTTTGGGATGTGATTCTTCTATTTATGGAAGCAGAGAATTCCAGTGTAGTGCTCGGTTATATAATCTGAATTTTATCCAGCCTTCATTTTGAAACAATTTTTCTAAAAGCATGACAAATAAAAATCATCTACTCCCTCCTTCCTGTTAAACAGTTTATTCATCTACTCTTTTAGCATCTGGAGAACACTTACCACAGATGAAACAGGTTGTCTTGAGAATTTCTTCTTTTTTCTGTTTTTCACTTCTAAGATCCGCAAAAGTATCGATGATCACACCAAAAATCAAATTAAGAACAATAATGATAACAATGAAAAAGAAAAGAAGGTCATAAACCACTCGGGCAGCAAACAAGGGCTCCTAAAATAAAAAAAAAAAAATACATATAATACATAGAACACTTTTAAGGGATGTTGACTTAGCACATTCTCTAGCATAAAGAATATATTTGATACATGTTTGCTAGATAAATATAAATAATATCCCCAGTTAGGAAAGTAAAATCCACTTTCAAGCTTTACTTTAGCTCCTGTTCCAAGAAGCCCTTTCGTTCCTCTGATGCTGACCTTTTTTCCCCACTGGGGGACGTACCTTTCTTTAGAAACTCCTTTTTTATGTCATTCTCCAAATACATTTGGCATAATGGGCCTTTATCCTAGACACTGCACAGAAGGCAGCTAAATACTAATTCCACAGGTCAGTGATTAGGAAGCTGAGCGGGACCTAATGATTTGTCAGGTTCTGAAGCAGGCGTTGTCCTTGGCATTGTAAGGTCAAGTACCATCTATACAGTTCATGCTTATTTCTACCTGATGAGGAGAACTGAAATACACGTTAGTGATCATGTCATCCTGTTGTTTAATAGCAGGAACCTGAGCTTGTGAAGTCAAGTAATTTGACAATATTATACAACAGGCCTGTTGCAGAACTATGCCTCTACTAGCTCCCGCCTAGCAATTGATACAATTACTGAGATATTTTTCTACTTCGCCGTTTTAACATACGAATCCTGTTGGAATTTGTTCAAGGTTTATATGCATCATGGGTAAGTAATGAAGGTTAGTCCTATGCAGAAACCAACTGCAAATCTTCATGCCTGAGCAATCCGACAGATACGAGGCAGCCAAAGCTGCTGTTGTTTATGTAACAATGACTCCTATATAAAATCTGCAGCTAGGATTTTGTTGCTGTGATACAATATACCGGTTAGACTTGGAAACATGTAGTAACTCTGTTAGCACACATAGATGTTCAGGACATGAGCTCTTTCTATGCAATCCTAGTATACAATTCATTGGGTTCACGGTTACTGCTATACTTTGGTGAATATATTACCCTGAAAGACAAAGCCATTTTATAAATGCTGCTAAGAAAGGTTACCAAGATAATCATGTGTTTCTTGCAAATGAAACATTCTTTTTTCTCTGGCTTACATCTTTCGAGGGCCTTCGCAGCACGTCCCCCACACCGCCACCATTGCGGAGGCCCTGGTTCAGCACCGTGACGATACACATGAGGAGAGTGTCACACATCCTTTCGATCCCATCTTCGTACTCTTCATCAGCTACAAAGACACAGCGATTAAACAACATGGCAGGCCTATGTTTAAAAAATATCCCATTATCTACTTCCAAAGAGCTAGTTCTAACTGTGCCAGGACACAGTCTTTTGAAACATGTGAGGTCTATTTCACATGTGGCAGCACGTGACTGACACATACTGATAAAGCCGCACATTTAATGTCCTGAATTACATTTTTTCCCTCCATGGGTGGAAAATGAAAAGGTCAAAGGGACAACACGTAAGAAGGCTAATATTCATGATGCACTGGGGTGGGAGGAGACGATGGTGAAACCTCTAAAAATTCTCCCAGGAGTCAAGCCTTGCTGAGCAAAAAGTGTAAACAGGAAACAAGACAAACCTGCTCTGTTCCAGGACTGGTCCTGGAGCAACTTAGGGAAGCTCAGCATCCTCATGTATGGAATGAAGAAGGCTGCATATGGATTAAACCTTCAGAGAGTTGTTCAAAGATTTACATATGCAAATAATGAGCAGGGATAGGCTGCTAGTTTTTTCTTATGGAACACGGAGCTACTGATGAGAAGCACAATGCATTTATGTGAAAAACTCTACAGAGGGAGAAATGGGAAAGGAGGAAAAGACATATATAATGGGAAGGGAGAAAAAGATATAATATGACAGAAAAGTCCCTAGACTGGACTAATTTTGCTTAAAGCTATAGTTATTAAACTTAAATCATGATTTCCTAACCACTTAAAATAGCAAAAAATTTATACTAAAATGGGTATTAGAACCAGAATTTTCCAATACTAGTAAGTCAGCAGAAAGGATTTAGGGTTTGTTTGTCTGATTTTGTTTGGTTACCAGTTAAAGGACAGCAGGGGTACTGAATTTAGGATGCTATAGCTACATTCTGCATGTTAAGGTGTTACTGTATAAATAATCCCCAGAATAAAAAAAGGAAAAGAGTCTATCTAACTTTGTCTCTGTGCTCCATGTTTAGCACACTGTTACAAAAAGGCTCATTTTTCCTTTCTGAACTGACTTTAACAGCATATGGATGGGGGATTCTGACCTTCTTACTTTACTTAGAGTTGTCCCTTTTTAAACATGTCAGGCCACCCCTGGCCGGGAAGACTCGAACAAGCGTAAAATGCTGCATCAAGGACAGCAGCACAATCTGCGTAAGGTGACTTACCTTCAGGGTGAGCCCAAGGCACGTTCTGATTTAGAAAGTAGGAGAAGGAGCAATGGAGAAAAGGAAAGGCTGGTGGCGGTGGCAGTCAGAGCAGCAGAACAGACAGGGCAGGCAGACAGAGCAGTGGACAAGGCTGTCTGTGACGTGCTAGTTAGGTCCCGACACTTGGGGGTAGATTCTAACATGACGGCTAAGAGGAATGAGAAGAAAAAGGGTTACTAATGTGTGAGAGAATGAAAGGGATGTTAAAAGAGAAAAATGGCTTTCCAGGAAGGAGGTCATATGGAATATATCTATGTGCTTTTTTGCTAGATTTTTAACCAATGCAATACCAAATTTAGTGGCAGGATCTACATTTATTTATTCAAAAAACAGTCTGGCCAGGTCACAAGTGTTTACTAACAATATGGTAAATATCAGTTTCATTAGTACATAGAAATGACAGGAAGCCAGCTGTGGTGGTGCACACCTATAATTCCAGCACTCTGGAGCACTGAGGCAGGAGGACTGCAAGTTAGAGCTCAATCTGGGCAAGTTTGCAAGGCCCTGTCTTAAAATAAAAAATGAAAAACGGAGGTTGGAGGTGTAATTGAGCAAGAAGGTCCTGGGTTCAATCCCTAGTACTGAAAAAACAGTGGCAGAAAAGTGCTCCTCTTTTCCAATAATTTGTGCTCCTATCTTTTATTTTCTGTGAAGTGAGCTGATAAAGTTCACACACAACTCAGGTGATTAGCCACTGTAAAATAAGATAGGCTGGCTATAAACATATGACCAACTTGGCTTTCTGTGTGGCATATAAACTGGGGCAGAACACTCGTGTCAGGACAATGCTAGCATCAATCCACTAACACTGTTCAATAATAATCGTGCACAGGTACGCTGGTTATATGTAAGGGTCTCTCTAAGCTTGGTTAAGAAGATTCTGCCTTGGTGAGATGGATCCACTCTGAAATGAGAGCTGAGTCCCAGGCCTGCAGGCTGAAGGTCAGGCCCTGAGTTGTGGTAAATTCTACCTTGCAGTTACCTGAACACCCAGCTGGACTTCTCCCTACCATCCCTGGCTTGTTCTATACCAACAGCTACTCAGCTAGGTGCTAGGAATACAAGTTAGAAAGATGAAAGTCTTCCATCTTGTGGGAAATTTGTGGTCCTCAGGAAAGGTGAGTCAACACATGAACAAGAGAGCACAGCATTTTACAGGATAGAGCACAGGCATCTTGAAGGCCAGTGGTACCCACATTAAACCTTAAAAGACAGTATATGTGGCCAGTAAAATCAATGGAAAGGCATTCCACACAGATGAGATGAGATGAGCAAAAGCAACAGACATGAAACACATGGTGTCTGGGGAACCCCAGTGGGTAGGGATAACTGGGTCTTTGTTGTATGTAGAGGAGTGTGGGAGTCCTGAAAATCCTGTGAACTTGGCCATGGCGAACTTCATCTATCAAGAAGGGACTATAAACTTCATCCTGAAAGCTATGGAAAGCCACTGAGGAACGTTTAACAGGGGCAATGTGGTTTACCATCTAGTCCGTGAAACGGTAGAGAGTAAAGACAATGCAGCATAAAATAAAGAACATAGAAGTGGTGCAAAGAGATCAGAACAGGCAGTAAACTTTTCATACAATGAATATTTTGAGAGCAGTCCTGATAATTAATGAAGACCTAGAGTGAATAGCTAGTGGAGTAAGACTTGAATAAAGGGGCATTTCCCATGACATAGGAAGAAAGACCCATGGATAGATGCTTGTATGATAGACAGCAGATACACCAACGTGTACACAGGAGGGGAGTGGAAGATGGAGCTGGAATAATAAATGGGGAGCTCTCCGTGAAGCTGTAGGGAGTTTGGATTTGACTGGGCAGGCAATGGAGCATCATAGAAATCTTGAATTGGGGGCAGGCCAGCACATATTCAGACCAGTGACTCCTGACAAGCAGTCTAATGGTGACAAACTGGATGAATTAAAGAGAGAATGTCTGGAGGTAGAAAGACCACTTAAGAGGCAGCTGCAGTAATTCAGGCATGATGTGCTATGTGGAAGCTTCACCAGGACAACGGCAGAGAGCAGGAAAGGATGAATGAAAGCTTTGGGCACAGGGAGGAGGCAACATTAAAAACCATGCAGGAGCTGTCCCGCAGGGGTGACATAGGAAAGGGATGGTCCCGTTAGATCTACAAAAACAAGCAATTTAGAAGGAGGAACCAGATGGCGGGTGTGATGATGTAGACAAGGCAAGGATCTGAGATGGTTTTTATATTTGCAGGATGGGAAGATGAGAAAACATTTTTAAAAGCTCAGAGGGGACAAGAGAGCTAGGAGAATGCTCTGATTTAAATTATGGAAGACAGTGACTTAAAGAAAGCAGCTGGAAGAGCTAGTAAAATAGTCAACTTACAGAAGAGTCAAAGGCGATGAGAAATGATAAAAGTTCACCAGATTTAGCAATTAGGTCATTGGGAACAAAGAGGAAGAGGGCAAATGGTGAAGAAAGTGGTTCATCCAGAAGTCAAAGGAGAGAGTGAAGCCTAGAATGTTTCACAGGAAAATCTGGTACTAAAAGGAAGGAGGTGGGTATTAGTTGGGGTGGTAACAAAATGCAGAAGGTTCACTTAGAACCTCCAGGTGTTTGCAAGAAAGAGAGAGAAGAAAGAAAAGATTTTAGGCACACGAACAATGGTCCAGGCAGGGGTGGATCAGAGGTAGCCTCGAAAGAGGAGAGTATGGCTCTTTACAAACAAAAGGAAAGAATTAGTGAAAACATTCAGTGTAGAGACACTGAAAAGACCTGAATAGGTACAGGTAAAGAACTCAGCAGTGCTTTGAACATACCGTAGTTAGCACTCAATAAATTCTAACTTTATTGCTATTTATCATTAATAAATGGCTGTTAAGTCTTCTGAAAAGTTATAGTTTTAACACAAGTCACAAATTAGATATTCAAATAATTCATTTTCAGCGGGCTATTAGTAAAATAAAATATTTGTTTCTCAATTCACAGTACAAAAGTGTTCCATATAAGGAAAGGAATAAAAATATAACATTGGTTCAGAAATAGCTCCTTCTCATCTTAAGTGTTAGTCTATAATTAAAAAGAATACTGGACATGCTTGAATGAAAGTATTGTAGTGATGCCACTTTTTCTGATTTAGTAATTATTCAGTGTTGATGGTTTCTGAGAAAGCAATAGGCTGTCAGTGAGATTCATTTGAAAGTCTGAGTAGAATGAAAAACCCCTTGTTTGTTAGTATTAAGCTTTAATTATAATCCATCCATTATGGAAATGCTGATTTAAACAATTTTAACCAGGAAAAAAATTTAAAAACACTGGGCACCCCCTGGGAAGCAAAAATGTGGAGTGCATTAGGCCGACTGGTTTCTGGTATTCATCAATCTTTTCTATTAGAGTAAAGTACCAAAACATTAAATTCGAATTACTCATAAATGTTAAACATCTGTGAACTTCCTTCTTTCTTCAGTACAGTCCGATGGCTTTTACTTACAAAATAATTTTGATTATATTCTGTAAAGCTGTCTCCCCTCCACAGTGTTGCTTTTCTAGAAAAGTCAGTTTGGAGGGCTTTTTTAAAAAGTGAATATTTTTGTCTGGGAACGAGGAAGCCTTTCAGTAAATGAAATAATAAGGTTGGTTTTTTGGTTTTTTTCCCCCCAATCGCAGTTGGTTGCCAGTAACCATGTGCATTTTCCACTGCTGAGACACTGACCTTACTGCATCCGCAGAGCCTTCCCTGGGAGCGGGCAGCTCTGCACCCCTGTTACTACGACACTCGTTATCATGCTGCCATGTGTGTCTGGGCCTTTTGTAATGTGGCCCTGCTGTCCACAAGGTAACAAACTAAGGCCTCCACAAATGCACACTGGGGTTTGCAAATTAAAATTTAATCCTGGTCTTAGGCATAGAAAAGTTATTTTTAAATCTATGTGACACATGCTGTACAACAAACGCCAGGTTTTAGCTTTCACTCTACTTTCACAGCTAAATATTTGCAGCCAAAATTTAAAGGAAGCCAGGGCCAGAAGACCAAATCCAAAGAATATGCAATCAAATGAGTTTTTAACACTCACTATGTCAAGTGCACAAAGGACAGAGAAGAAATAATAAATTAATGCAGGCATTTCTGTACTTTAAATGCCAGTTTAGGAATAAAACCTATTTGTGAAAAGCTGTTGCCACCATCTCTGGCTCCCAAAAGAAACGCTGGGACACCTCCATTGACACACACTCCACCGGCGCTGAATCCCCTCCACTACCCAGCTGGAATCCTTGCTTTCCTCCTACTTAGGCAGCTTTCCTTGCAAAATCTTCTCTGCCTTTTTCCCCTATTCCTAGCTCTGTGGGAGCTCAAAATGATAGAGACTTTGCCCCCTAGGGCCATGTGCCTGGGAGGAAGAACAGTCCCCATGAGTCCAAAGAACAAGTGCGAGTTCAGATCTTTGTGTGTTACCTGCATAACAGTATCGTGGAGGTTTTCATGGGAAGCCTTTTATAAGAGTTTGCATTCCAGTAATCCAAACAGAACAGTTTCTCACCCTTAATGATATTTCTTTAGGCGGGATGATTCTTTGTTGTGAGTTGTGTGCTACAGTGCAGGACGTTTACCATTCCTCGCCTCTACCCACTAGATGCCACTGGCAACCACCACACATACAGTATCTCCCTCCACACAATGTTCAGTGTTCCCAGGCCAAGGGGGTAGGGAGCAAAACCAGGTCTAGTTGATAAATATTTATACTGAGGAAATTGCCTTCAGGAGACAACATACTTAAAGAAAATTAACCTAACATGCTCAGTGAAAGACAAGCTGATGGGCAGAATTTTAAAAATCTTTAAATTTTGGTTAGGAAGAAGTAACTTAGAGCAACTATCCTCTTAACTAAGAGGCAATAAGACTGAAGGTTAAAGCACAGGCTTTGGAATCAGAGCTCCATATCAATTCATAAGCTATGTGGTCTTGGCATATTACATAAAAAGGGTCTTGGCACTGTCAGTGTTTTTACGTAAAATAGGAGGACCATTAGTAGTATCTCTATTTCACAGAGTGTTGCGATGATTAAATGGCATTATGCACACAGCGTGCTTAGCACAGCCCCCAAACAGTAGCTTTGTCCAGCTCCCTGAGGTGCTGTGGGGCCTCCTTGGCCCTGTACGCAGCCCTCTTCTGCTCCTCTTGGCCTGAATGGCTCCTTCTCATCCTTCAAGTCTCAGCTTAGATAATCCACCTTAGAAAGCTCCCTCTGTCTAACCTACCCACAGTCACGCTGTCTCGTGATTATCAGTCATAGCACTCTTTGTAGTACCTGCCTGATTTTACAACTTTTCACACTCCTCCCAATATTTTCTAAGTTATACGCAGGCCTGGGTCATGTTTGCTTTTTCAACCCACTGTGTCTTTGACACCTACCATGGAGGTTGACCTCCCAGGGTTCCAGAAATATGAATGAAATGAAATGAATGAAAAAAGGAGGGAAGGAAGGAAGGAAGGAAGGAAGGAAGGAAGGAAGGAAGGAAGGAAGGAAGGAAGGAAGGAAGGGAAGAAAGAAGGAAGGGAGAGAGAGATGATAGGAGACGACGGAAGGAATGAGCAAAGGAATGAATGATGAAGGAAGTTTTTATTATAAGGAATGCTATCATCCTCATGAAGAAGTTGTACTGACTTGACATAACCATTTTCCTACTTCACAGAAATGTTTACTTCATTTTTTTTTAAAACTGTAAGACTTAAATGTCACAATTGGTAATAATAAATGAAACAATGACACCAGAATATCTGGTTGAACCATAACAATGCCTGGAAAATTGTATAAAACCTAATATTTATCAAATTGCATGATGCTGGGCAGTCCACCATGCTGGGTGTGCCACGCTCTGCACAATTTGGAAGATCTCCTGGGAGAGGATCCTGGCTCTTACCTCACTGTGGCTGAGGAGGTCGTGGGCAGCTCGCTGGGGGTGAGTAGCACCGATTCACATGCTCTTCTGAGCCCACTGGGTTGGCTTCTTTATAAACTGCAAGCATGAGCACTAGCTTTGCTTTGGGCTGATTGGCCAAGCAACTTTGCTTTTAAAATCATAAAGTACAGTTTTCCTGTAGCATCCATGGAATGGGTATCAGTTCCAGGAGCCTCAGAAAAACCAAATTCCATGGGTGCTCAAGTCCTTTCAATAATGTGGTACAGTACTTGCATATAACTTATATATGCCCATATATTATCTAGGATAATATCTACTGCAGTGCAAGTACTATGCAAATAGCTGTTATACTATATTGTTTCGGAAATAATAACAAGGAAAAAGCCTGCATATGTTCAGTATAGACGTAAGTTTTTTCCTGAACATTTTCAATCCACAACTGGTTAAATCCAAGGATGGAGAATCAACAATATATTTGCTTTAATGGTGTATCTCTTTCAAATAAAGGCAACTAATTTGAAAGTAATATTCAGAGGTAGAAGACAAATGCAAATATATGATGATTATACTTGGGATCATGTTGTTTAACTGTATGTGTTTAACAAAAAAGTTCAATTTTTAACAGATTTTTAAATACTTTGTTCAGGAGATAAAATACTGAATTGAAAAGATGATAATACGGAATGGGGATAATCAAAGATCAAAGTGACCACAAAGGCATCTAATTTTACCAAGCCTTTAAAACGATGTCCAAGTTTTTCAAATTACCTATGATTTCTTTAAAAAATAAAGTCACAGAGAATGACAAGAGGGGAGTAGCATCAGTAGAGATGAATTTGAGATTGACACAGATTCTGCAAGCTGCTGTCAAAGGTCTTTGACGCTAAGTCAATGCACTAAAGCGGATCCTTAAAGGGATAATGTGGGAAGAAAGGGATGAAAAGAAGCCAGTGTGGGGGATGGGCTGGACATCACAATGGGGATGAGGCAGATACTCTGTATCTGGGCTATGGTAAGGGGGCTTTGATAAGTAATTTCATTATCTACTTTGAAAAATGATGAAAAAATATGATCTTCCTGATCGCTTATTTAAGACAGACTTCCATGTAGCTGAACTACTGCAGGAAGCATGGCCATGTCCATCTAAGTGTGTTTCTATTCTTCAGTTACTACCCCACACAGCACTTCCAGCACTTTTAATAGCAATTTCTAGAGCAGAAACTGGAATTATTTATGGCGAGGACCTAGATGACAAATATCTTAGGCTCTATGAGCCACACAATTCCCACTGCATCTTTGTCTTTTAAAAAATGTCTAACTACTCTTAGGTCAAGAGCTATACAAAAAAAGGTAGCAAGTCAGATTTCTCTAACTCCTTTCTAGAGCTTATCCAACATGAGAATGACGTGAAAGAAAATAAATGTATTGCTTGACAGAACCAAGATCCACAAAGACATCTTGAAGCTCACAGCACCTTAGAACAGGAAGGCTCCTAAAACCTAGAGGTCATCTGGTCAAAACCTCCTAATCTATTCACTGGAGAGTGTGTGTAGTCTTAGCTCATGGGTGGGTAGTCAGATATAAAAATAAACAACACGGTTTCATTTATGAAAGCTCAAACTCCCAATTATATAAGATGAGTATTTAAGGCTCAACAGCTAAGCCAGTGACAAATGGCATTTTAGCGAAGAGTCAGAGTGTGACATATCCCAAATTCCACTACCTGGAGTAAGACAGCACCACTCGATCGCTTCAGTGGATTATTAAATCAAAAGTCACTGTGATATGTGAGAAGGGCTGAAGAAATCAGAGGTGTTTACAATGCTAGATGCATATAACAGGATTTTAGAAACCATAGAGCACAGTAATGTCACACAAGCCACAAAAAGCTGGTTCTTACTGAAGCCCGGCTGAGGGAGCAGGGAGGGGAGGAGGGGTCTCACCGGCACTGCTTACAGCATTTGCAGCAGCTGCGTCAGAGGATAGAACGAATTCTTGTGTTTAATTCTCATAAAGCATGAAATATGTAGTCACCACAAGGGACCACCCATTTTTACCCAAGAGATAGTCAACATTTTAAGGAAAAAGGCCATTTAGGAAACAAGCCAGTATCATTATGACCAGAAAAACAATACTGTCCATCCTTACATCATGCTTAACTCTGACCTTATCCTGCCTGAATCCAATATTACTCTCCATAGACACACACATTTACTCTGGCCAAACCTGCTCCTATTAAATATGACAACCCTGCAAATATTTTAAGACACATTCTGTGCAGCTTTGCTGCTTCAAGAAGCAATGCACTAATTTCTTCTATAGTTTATGAAACAAGTGCCACAGTTTCTAGACTTCTGCCTCATCCTCAGAGAACAATTTAACATACAAGTATTTTTGTGTGTATGGTTCCATTCTCCTGCGAAGGCAGGGAAACTTTCACTCATTCACCCATTTTCTCTTTTTGCAAGAGATCTGAACAAAATCCATGACTTTGGCATAACATATGCAAGATATCCAGCTAGAGAGTGGCAGGTCCAGGATGATAGCCAAGTCTTTGGTTTTACAGGCTCTGAAGTCAAAAGGAGACTCACCCAGTATAGTCTGTCATATGGTAATAGAATTTGTATCAGGGCACGCTACAGTGTAAGTTTGCTAATTCTCAAAAGGACAAATCATACAAGGATTAGAGTGGGTGTTCAAAATGACAGAGAAGAAATCCTTTCCCTTGTTTGAATTTTCTTGGTTCACCTATCATTTGTTCTTCTCTTTGTACTCTACCACAGAACTCTCTGAGTGGCAGTAACCTAAATAACACCAGAGGTATCAAGTGCATTGAACTGGACTTCCTTCTACAGACCTTTATTTGAAGCTGGTATAGTGGACGAGCAGTTCTCCTTTCCACATGTTTCCATCACGGACATTAAGGTCACGCTGTGAACTTCATAATTACCTAAGGAGACACAAAGCAGAATAGGAAGGAGAGACAGATACACTAATGACAAATGAACACACACTATCAAGTCATCTAAGTTAAAGACATTTGCGCTCCAACGCAGCTATATCCCTAAAGCGTTTTAGTAAGTTAGTTTGTAACTCTGAACACAGTTTTGCCTATTGATGCAATTTTATAAATAGAGAATAGATTCACGGGCCAACCCGCTAAAAGCCTTTTAAACATTTGCTAAGTGGCTGAGCTACAGTATTCATAATACTGTAGACCTTAACAGCCATGTGTGACACTTTCTATAGCCGATGCATTCGGAGTTCTGCCCTGGGATGTCAGGAACACACTACCCTCCCCGCTGCAGTTGGTAGCGCTGGAGCTCTAAGACACCTGACACCGGTCCCTACAGCTGTGGTGGACACTGTGGGCAGTGGCAGTTCTAATAAAGGACTGGCTCCAGCAAAAAGAGCATCAAACACCCAAGGTTGGAAGAATCTTTCTTTTCTTCCATAGGTCCTGAGAACACATCTTCTTGATGGCTCATTATTTCCCTTGGCCAGAACAGAACTGAAAGCAGTCACCCTCCCATTTATATGAGACAAGGTCTTATTTTAAGAAATTTCTTTGACTCATAAACTCAGATGAGAGCAGAAGTGGCAAATGGGAGTTGGAGCTTGGGGCAAATGTGACAGGGGCATGCATTAGACGTAAGGTTGCCAGCCACGTAAGCAATGCAGCTGAGAGAGCTGGGTCCCCTCTGGGAAGGGAAGTCACGATGCCACCTCTATTTCTCTTTGCCCCTGAGAGTGGGCACATCCCAATCAGCACTGGGGTAGGATACAGCTGTGTGCCAGGAAGTCAGAGAGGGAGAGAGGTGGAGTTCTGCAATGCACTCTCATGGCCAATCCTCTTAAATATTCAACCAGGCACCATGCTGGGATCTAAGGACTCAGAATGGAGGTTTTGGAGAACGTAGCAAGCGGGCACAGACAGCTACCAATACAATTACAGTTGAATGAAGAAAACCAAGTAAAAGTTTTTTAAAATATACAGCAGGAGAGGGAGAAGTGAATTCTAGATGGGAAAGAAAACAGCTGTTTTGAGAAGGGGCCACCTAAAGGAGTCATAGAATTTGTACCCCTGACCACTGCGAAGCTGCAATTCCTGGCACAGTCTGGCAGGGAAGGGACAGAGCTGGCTGAATGTCCTGAGCTGCCAGAGCAATTACTGTCCACCAAGCATCCCACAGCTGCCGCAGCTGCAAGGAGCAGCCGAGTCTGAGCAGCGGTCAGTGACTTATCTAGGAGGGCAGAGAGGCTGCAGGTTGTGAAGCCACAGGGGCAGCTCCTGTGTGTTCTGAGGGCAAGAAAGGATGGTAAGAAACAAGAGGGTGGCAGTAAGACTGGGACCAGGGACAGACATAAGACATATATCATCCCTCCACTTTTCAGTGAAAACTTCCCTCCAACTCCTTGGGCTTTTATAGACATAGATTCCCCTGGACACTGCTCATGTTAGCCTTCTTGTTTATGAGCTGCAGATCCCTCTGGTCCCGGATGTGGGAGCTGCGTTCACCTAAATCTCCAATGTCTTCTGCAAATTACTCACCCTGCACTGCCACGCATGCTTGTGACACTTTTGCTATTGGGTCCTAATTCCGCAACTGCCTCTCTCTTTGCTCCCCTCTGTTGGTTTTCTGATCTTCATTTAATGCCACTGAAGAACGGCATACTTCTGCACTCCCAACTCCTCTTGCTACCTGAGTTTGTTATCCTCCATAATTTCCTTCAATGCCTAGTCAACTTCATAAGTAAAGGATGCTCTCAATCTATGAGATCAAAAAAACCCATAAAAAATAAAAACTTCACTTTGTTAGCTGTTCTCGTGTGCTTGATCTTCTTTTTCTTTTCTTTTCTTTTTTTGTTTTTTGGTACCAGGAATCGAACTCAGGACTTTGCACTTGCCAAGCAGGCACTTATGCCACTGAACTATATCCCCAGCCCAACTGTCAATTTAATAATTAAGAAATGTTTATTAAAAACAGGAAAGAATATCATTTGTAAAGGACCACTAATTAAACCTTAGTTTTAAATTTAATGGTTTGTGGAGAGAATTGCTTTGTGGTTTCCAATCTCTGCAACCTACACTCAGCAGAATCACTCTAAAAAACTTCTCAGCAAAGTGCAGAACTGTGAAGAAAAGTGCAGAACTCTCTAGAAAAGCAGGAAAAGGGGAAAAAGAATAACAAAGAAACTTAACTAAAACGACAAAAGGAAGAAAAGGGGTGGAGGAACAGGATTAGAAAGCATAATGAAAAATTTAAAATAATATGGAAAAAGTTGGCCCTAAATCATAGGGAGTACAAATGGATGGATCTAAAGAATGACACAACTAAATCAAACGTCATAAAGAGATGCTGACAGTCACAGCTGGATAGATAGGGTCCCGTAATCACACTATTAAATGTGTGTGTTCTTACTGTCTGATGGCTTCCAAATCAAAGTGCTTATCACATTCAACTGCTTAAGTATAACATGATGTACTGTGATCAAATACATATGGAATGATTGTTGTGAATTATGTTAGTCAGTGTTCTTGGGGTAGATGGGGTGTTATGGTTTGAGTCTGCATGTCCCCCCAAATCCTCATATTGTCATGGGGCAGGATTCTAGACTTTGGATTGATCCATAGTCCAATGCTGGGATTATGGGTCTGAGAGCTACACTTGCCCGTGGGGTGGGTAGTTTGCATACAGTGTAAGGGAGGGAAAGAGGCTGCTTGCTGCTACTCCTTCCTTTTGCTCTGGTTGCCTTTGTTGCTTTCCACCACCATGAATGACTGCCCTCTGCCATGTGCCACCCTGCCTTGGAGCCAGCCAAGTATGGCCTGAAACCTCCACAGACTGTGAGCTAAATAAACCTTCCCTTCCTTAAATTTGGGCACTGGGTATTTTGTCTCACCAACAAGAGAAAAGTAACCAAAACATGGGGAAAAGAGCAAGAAAAGAATTCTGAAGCTATTATTTTGCACTAAAGCTGTTGGCTGTCTTCTGGAATATGGGCAGTGATACTGAAACGTTCTTACTGAGTCTGAGCTTAGCTGATGTTTCTTGTACTGCATTTTCTTGCACACAGGACAGCTAATCTACAGTCAGTGAATACTTTACAGTTTTGAGGCTTAGTAGAACATGTTGTCAAAGGAATGGAAGAAAAAATTTCCTCCATTAGTGTTTATCTGCAATCCTATAAACAAGCTATACCCAAGTTTTATCTGCCAGAGGGCCAGTTCAGTGGTAACAGAAATACCTGCCGCTGGAGTTCTGTTCTTCAGCCTATCCACTTCCATCGTGAAGTCATCCTTCAAAAACAGGAAGCCAATGATGGAAAACAGGTAAACAAGAATGAGAGCCAGGACTGCAGTCAGAATAATAGAGCGGCCATTCCGGGTGACACTTTTTATGACATTGAGCAGAGTCTCTTCTCTGTACACCAAATCAAAGAGCTACAAAAAAGTAATCAAGGGAGAAATGTAACGGAGTAAAAGGTAAACAAATTAAAGATAATACAAAGACAAACGTAAACCGTTTTAGATTATCTATGAAAAAATTACCTGAAGATGAACCAAAATATCTATTTCTTCGCCAGTTGGAATGTATTAATAATACATTAATATATTAATTATGTTTCAGTGATCACAAATCTAACACAGCAGATAATGTGAACCAATATGATGCCAGTTTACTAAGACACTATAGAAATAGTATACTTCCATTTTAACTTAGAAAAATTATACTATTAGGCCCATCTAATTGGTGAACACTTCGCAAATTCATTAAATCTACTGCATTGTTGAGGAATTAGAGATAAAATGAAAAGAACAAGTTTATAAGCCTGGTATAACAGAAATGGGTATGAAATTTTAAAATGTGAGAAACTGAAATATCTTTCCTTACTAAAGAGATATACTAATGAGGACAAAATCTATTAGTGTAGTATATCCTTTTGAAGCAAAAGTATAAACAAAAATATAAGGACACATCTTTTTGAATTCACTTCCTTTAATGGTTATTATTCATTTTATCCTCAGTGATAGAAAAATCTATGCAATAGTCAAGAACATGGGTATATGTTCTCTCTCTCCAGTGAACACAAAGAACAACTTTATTTATTGCAATTGGGATTATGTATTATAAAGTACATGTTTCATTATAAAAATAGGGCTGAAAATAAAATAATATACACTTTCTAAAAAGGTGTACAAATTTGCTTAAAAGTGAATGGTGTCTTTAAAATTGGAATAATTGGATTTGTATTCTGCTATCTGTGAGCAAGAATGAGAATTTCTCCACTGAGTGAAATTATTAATCATGTGTCATGCAGCCTTTCAGAAACATCAAGGCCTCATTCACTCTTTTTCTAAGTAATGAAAGTTACGCAGTTATTTTCTCATATAATTATAATATTATAAATAATTGCTGTATAGATATTGACTTGTTTGCTCACCTCAGGAAATTGATGTTTAGGATGGTTTAATTAAAAAAGTTTAACTATTCAGCGAACTTTTTACCTCCTGGAAGGTGCATTTATCTTTAGAAATAAAGTCAATGTTCTTCAGCAAAGATAAATTAACCAACACAAATTCAACTTCCAGATTGACAATGCTCTGACTTCTTCAAATTTATTTAAGGATTAAACTGATGAAAAGGATATTTTCCTTTATGTCAGTTTAACCGTTGCTTGAAGGAAGGGTCTTTTAAAGCACTCTGTGTCAGCTCTAGAGAAAGTTATAGTAGCTTTCAGAAGCCCCTGGAAGGCTTGCTAGTGATTCATATTCTTGGGCCCCATTCTATGCCCAGAATCTTACACATGGAAAACATATTGACATTGGACATGTTATGGTTCCTTCTGTTTATTTCTGAAAGAAAAATCTAGAGTGTAATATTTATTACTTTGGATACAGGACTGACACTATAGGTACTATCCCATATCCAGAGTTTAGATTCAAATATTTTTAAATAATACAAATATTGTTAAATATGTGTACCTGCTAGTTTTGGTACTAGGTATATAAGAATTTCCTTCTAGTATTCTAAACATAAAAATGGACTAACCAATCAAATCAAAAACTAGCATCAAGAGGGTAAGATTTGAAAGAAAAGATCAGAGGAAGACTAGAAAAAAAAAGGTTAACAGAAAATAAAGGTAACATTACTACTGATAACTAAAATAATAAAATATAGCTTTATTTTGTCAAGTACCCTTCTATACATGTCACATGTTTTTCATATTATCTGTTTAATGGTTCTCATTAAACTTCTGCACTTTATAAATAAGAATATTAAAAACAAAAATATCATAGGCCCATCAAGTTATATATATTAAATAGGTACAGGTTTTTGTATGTCAATAATACCTCTATTAAGAGGCCTAAAATATGCAAAATATTTTATGTCACAGTAAGGTAAAATTGCTGGGTATAATAGGACTTTACATATGATAGGCAGGTTAAAAAATGGAATTTCTCTGGTGAATCAGGGAAAAGAGGGGATTCATTTGGATTGAATCCATTATACTGTTGAAGGATCTAACTTACTTCCCAGAGTGTTTGTGTTAAAATAGTACACACAAACCCACTTTTTACTATGGTTCTTCCAACAGCTGGAGGATAAAGGGAAACTGGCCTCATGTCAGTCCCCTATATGGGTGTGCCAGATAATCAGGTATCCTCGGCGACCGGAGTAAACTGGGTCAACAGACCATTTTAGATCTTCAGCTTGTTTTCAGGAATCGTGTTATTAAGCAGAACTCTCCACTGATATCCACTATGGGACAGGAAATTGAAATGGTTCTATTATATCATGATGCTAAGGAGCCTGGTAATGTTTTAAGTTTGAAAAACATTACCATATTTTTATATTGACCCCTTTTCTGGCTCGTGGTTATAAAAAAGTACGTATGTGGAAAGAAAAACTGAAAACCAGAAAAAAAAATAGAAAAATATATATACACAATATATACTTAATAACATGACATATTAAGGGTGCAATGATAAGGTTGTACTTAAAAAGACTCATTTTGTTGTAATTCCCCTTCATTTAAACAATATGTCATTCTAAAGATGAACACAATGTTTATAAATAAACTATAATGATTTCAGCACCTAAGAAAATACATCCTTACTTTTCCCTCCCCTCTGTTGGAGAATCATTAAATATAAAGGAAAATATTATTTGGCTGAAAGCAAATGCAGCTTATTTTCTTATGAAGTCTGGGTCAAGAGGTAGGGTGGTTGGTTGCTTCTCAGAAAGGAAATAAAAAACCCTACCACCTATGTGGTTTCCCTGAGAAAAAGACCAAAAAATTCACAGTTTTCCTAGGTAATTCTAAAAATAACATAATTTGTCCTAAATGTCAGGGCCTGCTTTTTAAAAAATTCAAAAGATGAGGCATGAGCAGCAGCATTGTATATTTTTTCAGCAGCAATTGTCCATGGGAAGAGGTACTCACCAGGAAGCTATAGAAGAATTCGTGAACAAAGAGACCCAGCATGCAAACCAGGACATACGCGACGTGATAGAGAAAGGCCATGTCCAAGATGACTGCTCGGTATCCCCGGGTGAACGTGCCACGATTCCCGACAAAACTCACCAGAAACACTATTTTATTACAAAGCTAAAAGGAGGAAAAGATTCGATTTTATTGTCTTATTGATCCTCAAACTCCCATACGCAGCAAGACACTGGCAAAAACACTATTATTCACACATCGGTGATTTTCTTTTATGATTTCTCATTTTGTAGTTTTTCAGCATCGCTTACAAATCTCCATATAAATATAACAAATGGGGCTGGGGATTTCGCTCAGCACCACAGTGCCTGCCTGGCAAGTGCAAGGTCGTGAGTTCGATTCCCAGTATCAGAAAAAAACAAAAAACAACAACCACAACCACAACAACAACAACAAAAATATATACATATATATAACAAGTGCAAAACTTGTATCCTTTGCAGTTTTAGGACAAGGGAGAAGAATGATGAAGAGACCTAGCTACAATGCCAAGACAGACCTGAATTTAAGTGCTGGATTTCTTTCCTATTGTCCAACTGAGTTCCTACAATTGCAGCCATCAATGGCTTCTTCTGAAAACTTTTAACAAAAATATTCCCACCTGCTAGATCTCTTTGGAGGACTAAATGACACAATGCATATGAAGCAGTGAGTTCATCGATGCCTTAAATGCTACCTTTATTGTATTTTCCACACTATATATATATACACATACATGTTTTAATTGTACTGAAAATATAACTTAAAAGTATCTTTTCAGAAAATATCCAGTGATCTGTTTTTAATTTTATTTTAATCTTGGACTTTTTATTCTGAATATTGCTTTAAATAAGTAAATCACCAAAGTATTTTTTTGCATGTACTGTAATTTATATACAAAAATAAATAAATATACTTACGTACTGTGTTAAAATGAATACAATGCATATACTTATTTCCTAAGCCATACATCTGCTAATTATTCAATAAACATTTTGGAATGCTCATTATTTTTCTGGCCATGTAGTGTATTTATACTCAGCCTATACTTAGTATTGCCTTATGCGGCATAACATTGTAATGTAGAAATTTATATTGAGATACTTTTATAGTAATGATGATCTATGCAATGATTTCTAAAAGCAGCAATTAATGTAAATTCAGTACCATCTATTTGGCTTTAGTATTTCTGTATTACTTATAAGGTAAAAGCCAGTTTTGCCTTTTAGTCATCAAGGAAAGAATAACAGATTTTTAAATGCTCACAGTTCTGCATCATTTCTTGGGTCACCCCTTATCTAATGGAATCATATCTGTTTCTAAGTGTCCAAGTACAACACTGGGAAAACAGTTGCTTTTTGTAGCACTGCTGATTTTCTGTTGAACAAAAACACCTTATAATTTCAAATAACACAAGAAACAACATGATAGTCTGAGGCAGATGCGAAATTTGAGAGGGGAGAAAAACTCTCCCTTCAACATCCTGGAGTCCAAATCAATACAGATGCAATGGTAAATGGGTTTGACTTCATGTTGTGAAAAGCCAATAGGCCAACAACACAGCCAATTTCTGAACTTTTCTCCCAGCTGAAAAACTCCTCTGAATAATTGATGTCATTACTTCTTTCATCATTTTGTTTAATATTTCAATAATGTCGAATAGAAAGCTTTATTTAACCAGTTAATGTTTTGTCATCGGTAGTTCACACTATTACTAAGTCTACAGTATAGCAGACGTCTTTACTTATTGTTCAAGAGCAAGTTTGATATCATAAGAAGCCATTACTTAAAAACTCAAGAAATATATACAAGGTGCTGACCCATAGGAAGTGTTGGGTAAGAAACATCCACGAAAATGGCTTGAAACAGGAAGGCAAAAAAGTATTCTGTATTTTGCTCTTTAAATTGTTTGGAGTGACTGACATTTCACTTTACACTGTTTATTTTGATTCACCTACTACTGTTCGTCACTGTCATACAAAAGTAAGTTCTATAAAGTATAAAGTTACAAATTGGAATCATGACTTCTCAGGAGAATGACTGTGATCAAGATAAGCTATTTATATGTTGCTTCCTGATTTCCAATTCTCTAAATTGATTTGCAAAAAACTAAATGATTTATAAGTCCCATATGCACAGGAAAAACTTAAAAAATACATAGAATTCAAATTCTTAAAAAGAGCGATGCATTTCCGTTCTCAATGCAAAAGCAAGGACTTAGGTCTGTGTAAAAGCACTCTGATTTTTCACATGAAACACAGATTTTCTTTACTCATTTTCAGAGTTTGGTGTCAGCTTTTGATCCCTTCTCTTGAGCTTGAAGAGTACGTTTCTGTCCTCCAGACCAAGTCCGTATGTGGAAGTAGAGTTTACTCGACAGTGACATCCATCTAATTTTTCTGAGATCGGAAACTCTTGTCTTTACTTTTAAGTGTTTGTACAAAAGAGAGATAAGTTCAATAATGATTTGGGTAAGAAAGAAGCTGAAATGTGGTTTATCTGGCATCATGAAATTTATAAATTGTTTTGCTGTATCACTGGGATGTAATCTGGAAATAATTAATACGGAACTGAGGAAGCTGGAAAAAACATTCTTCTTTCTCATGGTTAGACTTAGAGGATGTCAGCTAACCAGTCTCTCACTTGTCCATACTATTACGTAAGTACTCATTTCTGTGGCAAAGGGCCAGGTGGACAACAATTAGTAGAGGGTGTGGCAAGGTGGCTAAAGGCCACGTGCTTCTGAGCTGATGTCGAAAGAACCCTCTACCAGCACACAAACGCCAATACAAATGAGCATAACTGTTCCATGTACATTTTTTCATTTCTTCATTTATTCTTCATAGCTACCCATATAGGTGATGGCTTGAACTGTGTCATCACAGGGGAGAATGAGGAGGCCGGAGAAACAGCACCAAAATAAGTTTTCTTGACCATCTTTTAAATGGGATACACCCTGCAGATGATTTACCAATAGGTCTGTATGCTAATGAAGATCATTAATTTTAACTAGGTAAATAAATGATAAAGTTAAGTAATGTCTTCATATACACTTTGGTTTGTGAATATAACTGTAGGACTTTATCAGAGCAAGATGGTAGACAAAAACACTGGATTAGAAGTCGGCCACAGGAGGCGCTGTCATGGCTTTGTGGTCACGTTCGCTGCTTTGGTTCATCTCCTTCCTCTATAGGAGTGTGGTTTTTCAATGAGTTGGCTAGAATTAAAGTGCCTTACAGGTGTAGAATTCTACGTGATGTTCTTTAAATTTACACAATCGCAGAAAGAATAGCAGCTATCTCTTTGTCTTTTTGTTGTTTTATTGGTCCGATTTAGGACTCTATTGTCGATCAGGGATTCTAACCCCTCTTAAATAATTCCTATGAGAAAACATTATTTATTTTCCATGAATAAATACTAAAATGAAATAAAAAGACTTTACTTATGTACTGAAAGGCAAAATTGAATTTACTACCTTCAACTACTTTACTATATTTTAATCAACCTTCTCCTGGAAAATGAGATGACTGTATTTAAAAATCTTATTTCAGTCATGTTACATTGAGGGCAGGTTAAGATCTCAAAGTCAATAGGTAAGGCAGAATTTGCAAGCAGAGAAATCACCCTGGAAATACTTGAAATTGCAAAAAAAAAAAAATTCCAATACATAGACAGTAACGTGTCTCACTAAATTCAATAACAGCACTGGGGCCATTTTGCGTTTCTGCGGCTGAGTGTTAGAATTAGTTGGGGCACTGCGTGACAATATGAAATAATACAAAAAACCGTGCATCTGTGTGTACTGTGTGTATGAGGGAGAAAGGCTATGGAAGTTTTCACTCAGAATATATACTTGAATTTGTATGTTAAGTAAACGTTTAGTGAGACTGAACCTTATAGATCAGCAGGAACATGAGGTCACCCAGAAAACTAACTATAGGTAAGTAACTAAAGACACAATGCTATTCACTTTTGACACTGTTCTTTATTGTAACTAGCTATTTGCTCTTCTCCTCTGTAAAATGGTGAGATGGGTTCAAATAAAAGTAAATATTTTCACATTATAAATTACTGTAAGAAAGACATATAATGTACAAATACCATTAAGTAAATTACACATTTCCATGCACTTTAGAAAAGGAAAAAACACTACAGGTTGGAAATGTTTAGAAGATGTAGAATGATCTTTTATTGTAGGGATGGCGGTGTAGTTTAGTGACAGAGCTCTTGCGCAGCATGAGTGAAGACCTGGGTTCAAACCCCAGCACCACAACAAAGAAGCAAACGACAACAAAAGATCTTTTGTTACTATTTACCGTATTATTATTTACTGTAAAAAATTCTAAAAAATGACAAAAATAAATGGATTGGGTAGGCATGTTATATAATACTTCCACAAAACTAAAAATATTACAGTTATTAAAATAAGGCCTACAAATGATTTTAATGGTCTGAAAAATACTAAATTACCTCAAATTTATAAAATATGTCATTACATTTATCAGAACAATATATTAATTTCTATTAGCATTTACTAAAAATGAAGTATGGTGGATGAGAAGAAAACCATACTGAAGTTAAAATGTATTTTATAACAGAGAAAAAAGTTGAATTTTTGAAACACCTCAAGTATGGAGACAACTCTGATGACAAGATAAACAGGATGAAATCTACACAAAACTTCAGTTTTTACAAATGAATGATGATAAAAATGCAGTAGTATGATAAGGAGAAACTGATAACATTAAGTGTCCAGCACCCAAGCTGAGGTTTATCCTCCTGCTCAATTCCTTTCCCGAGAGAAAGACCGTGTCAATTTAACATTTTAGAAGTTAGAGTTCAAAAACAAAGAACTCTCTGTGAACCAAACTACAAACATTTTGCTGTCATGAGTGCAATACTTTGCAATTAAATCATGCCTCACATATTAGCTGTAGTTGGTGAATGGTGGCCGCTATTACCGTTGTATCACTATCACTGTCGCTGCTCTTTACTAGATCTTTTACATTAACTTTCTCAACTGATCTCAAAAGCTTGGTGAGGACTGATGAGCCACTACAATTTTCAGGGTTTGTTGATTTGCCTAAAGTCTAGAATTCTGATTCTCAGTAAGGCTAAACTGTCAGGTGGATATCTTTTGTTTTTCCTGTTTCTGACACCTATAACATTGAGTACTTATAGTTTCACCAGTTAAAAATGCAAACATCTAACTGTAAATTAAGAAAGTATATTAAAATCTAAAACTAAACAACAAAACTGATTTATAGTTTCATTTATTTACTTTTTTCTGCCTCCCGAGTAATGATGAACTATCGATAATTTTATAAAGAGCTTCACTGAAACATTTTGTTAGCTCATATAATATTAAAATTATAGATAAAAGCTTTCTATCAATAGCTACAGTATCAAAATCACTGTTATTCCATTGGATTTGTCCAAAATCAATGTTGATTCTTTGGTGAAAATGCCCGGGAGCAGTAGATGTGATAACTTATTAGGCTGTATGAACATGTTTTACATCATGAATGTTATGAGAGTACCTATAGATTCATGTAGTTAATAAGATGGCTATGTCAACATGTTTATTTTCTGGGAGCTGGGGATTTAGCTCAGCGGCACAGCGCCTGCCTGGCAAGCACAAGGTCGTGAGTTTGATTCCCGGTACCGGAAAAAAAACAAAAATCAAAAAACAAACAAAAAAAATGTTTATTTTCTATAAAGAAAGTAAAGTATAAATATTGCCTTTCATTTTTTGTAGTAGAATTTTTCTCACCAAATCAAGTAGAAATTACCTTTTTACCTGGCTGAGGAGGGAAAAAGGAAAAATATTCCAAATGGTTTTGATGTACACCAGAAGGTGTAAAAATGTTATTCTTTAGCTCTACATTCTTGTTCCAAAATGCAAATTTGTGAGTCTGCCACATAAACTTCTGCATGGTAAGCACTATATCACTACTACTTGGTATTTTTAGTACCTATTGTATTATATAATAGAAGCCCAGTGAATTTTTTTTTTAACCAACTCTATCTATCTATTATTTCACTTTATCAAACCTAGATTTTTTTCACTTGTATTAATGTCTCATTGAGAGCCAGTTACTGGTTTATGACAAATATTTGCTTCTTCAAGTAATACGATTTCATAGTCAACGTATTTTTAAAGAAAAAACAAGTCAAATACGTAGCTTTAGATAAATTTTGATACATTCATGAAGATTCTCCAGCTAGTTTTGTTGGTAATACTGGGAATTAGCTTGTTTCCAAGGCATTGAATGTTGCATCCATGTAAACACCTATGAACAACCAGGGCCAGGTACCAAGGTAGAGGATATTGGAGATGGAGCAAGGAGGGAAGAGTTACATATACGAATGTGACAATATCTACCCTCAAGAGATGGTACACTTGGGACTTTAAAACTCATTACTCATAGATTTCTTTATACGTACAGAATACAAGAGGTGATCAAAATATACAGTGAATGTTTAAATAAGAGTTATTACAGTGAAGGCACACTGCCATTAATTTCCCTCAAATAGTCCCTCTCACTTATTATCTCGTAATTCTTGTGATTTTCTGAAACAGTTCTGGAAACACTCTTTGATATCGTTAGGAGGTGTGATCAAAAATCCAGTGAATGGTGCTGCTGAGTACCATCCAACAGAAAGGTAGGCTGGTACAAATATTCAATGTTCCGGTGTCCTCATCCACCTTGTTCACCAGATCTGGCACTGTGTGACTTTTAGCTCCTCCCCAAAGGCAAAATGACCATGGAAGGCAAATATTTTGAATCAATTCAGGACATCAAGGGAACCAGGTCAGCATAACTAAAGGTACTCTTTCAAAGTGTGTTGGGGGGTCTTTTGAGAGGGATGAACAGTATCTTTTTTTCTGTTCTGTTCCTCTCTCTCTCTCTCTCTCTCTCTCTCTCTCTCTCTCTCTCTCTCTCTCTGTCTTTTTGAGACAGGGCTTCACTATGCAGCTGAGGCTGGCCTCAAACTCACTTTGGAGCCCAGGCTGGCCTCAAATCCACAGTGATCCTCCTGCCTCAGCCTCCCAAGTGCTGGGATTCAGGTGTGTGCCACCACACCCGGCAATAATGTGTCTTTTACTGTAATAAAATTCTCAAAATGTAAACATTCGTATTTTTCAACTCCCCTTACTTCCTTTTACTGACAATAATGGAAAACTGGTAATTTGCTGCCTAAATATTCCAGTTAATTAGAAGCTATCAAGTACACTGTGTCAAATGTTTAAAGAACTGTTATAAAAAAAGCAGCCAGAAACACAGAGACAAGAGAATTGGCCATATTAACTCAGCTTTATAATTCTTAAAAATTTGGTTGGCTCCTCTACTTACTAATCTTCAGTAAATATTTGCCACATTATGTGAAAGGCATTATAAATGTGTAAGAATACAAAGCTAATCATTTGCTCACTCATTCACTGATTAGCTGATCTATTCAAGAAATATTTACTGGGCACCTATACTGTTCCAGACATCAAATGGTGAGATGATAACATTACGAACCATACAAGGTCATGGGGGAAACAGAAACCCAGTAAAATAAATGGAAAGAGTCTTTTATTCAGAGGCTCTATGAACACTATTTGTGTATTTGTTTGTTTCACCAACCTGATATTTGCTGTTTGCTGTTTCACCAACCTGATAGTCTACTTTTTCTTTATATTCTTCTATGGTTCTGCCTTGAATAAAGTTGGCATAGAGTACCTTTAAATTTTTATTTCTTGGGTAAAATTATTTCTATAACTATCACTCTTGCTTCTGAGAGTACTCTAGCTCACTTATTCTAAACTTACCTAAAGCTTCAAAATGTGTTCCATTCTCTAAATTTGGTAAAAAAAAAAAAAAAAAAAAATTAATCTCATCTATGCCTTTTACAAGTTTATAGAATTTGTTCACAGAAAAGGAGGCCCATTTCTTACTTTCTCCTAAAGTAGCCCCTTTTAAGTCACTTGATGAAAGGTACTTCTTAGATTCTACTGAATATAATTCAGTCATTCTTGCATGATTTAGAAGTCATCACAGGAAGTTAACAGTGGCTTAGACGTCATTTTTGTCAATAGCAGTGGGTATAGGGTGCAGAAGACATTAAAACTGGATTAGGTTAAACTGATGGCAGAACTGGGTCATTCCCAAAATGTCACTTTCTCAAATATACCAACTTTTCACTTCTCACTTTTTCTTTTTTTCTAAATTAAATAAAATATGTGCAAATTATACCTTGATTTATTTAGAGTCATAAAAAATCAGAATTCACTTTGAGTACTAGGATGAAAACATTTATTTTTATATCACATATATTTTTATATTTCATACACCTTTAATTAATTCTATAGCAATATAAACTAAGCACTTACGTTTGCTGCACCAAGAAGTATTAACGTAGGCCCAAGACCTATTGTATATATTGATCTGAGCATTACTGACACAAGAAATGGCCGGATGCCCACAGGCTTGGAGAAGAAAAACAGCACAGATGTGCAGATGGCAACCGCTATCCAAAGAAGGACCGAGAACAACGGGGAAAGTGTGCCTGTGAAATGTAGGAAAAGTTTATTTGTACAAAGAACAAAACCAAAAAGTGTTGAAATATCCACAGTTCTACTTTGTACGTTATAGCAAGTCAAGCCATAATGTATTGGATTTCAAACCAAGCCCATTCTAGCACTTTGTTTTAATTTCGAGAAAATGTCTTTGAATACGTTACTCATTATTACATTTTGAGAAAGTCAGTGATTAGTTTTAGGCTCCTCGAATGCGCACTAGTCACCATTCCTTCCATTAAGTCTGAGAATTGTGTGTTTTCCTCCCTGATGAAGTGATATGCTGAGCACTTTGGATAAACGCATCTTGCTTGAGAACCTTAGTTCGAAATTTGATTAATGACCACTAGAGGTATCACTAAATCATATAAAATCAGTTATTTTTTTATTGAACTCATACCCTGGCTTGTTCTATTATCATCAAGTTTCCATGCTGTAGATTCCCCTGAAGAATCCAGCATGTAGAATACCTGCCATATTTCACTGAAAATAAGACTGGATTTTATATTAAGTTTTGCTCCAAAAGATGAAATGGGGCTTATTTTCAGGGAATGTCTTATTTTTTCACGTATAGCAATCTACATTTATTCAGTTACTCATGTATAAAATTACTTTTATTCATGTACAAAACCTGCATTTATTCAGATACAGTCACGTTATCATCTTCTGGAACATTGTTGAACCCTCCAAGGCCTGAATTCTGACCTGAATCTCCTGCAGCTCTATTTCCTATAGAACCACTGGTCCCAATGTCTCCTGTCCAGCAACAGGGGTCTCCTTAAAGGAGCACTTCCTGTCCACATAGCCCGTTCGTAGTGCATTGGCAACACCATTGCCAGGGAGCCTAGCCCATGAATTCTTCCCCAAGTCACGACCTCTTCCAGGTGGGCCTTCACGAAGTTTCCATTCACTCAAGCATTAATTGAAGACTTTCAAGACAGGAGTGGCAATAAAAATGATGACAGTTAAGAATGATTTTCCACACAAAACTGACAATAAGCTGAGGGCACCACAATCCAAAAAACATTCCTTTATTTCACAAGAGTGCCTTAAGTGGGACAGTTACAACACACAACATATTTTATTGTGAAGATTTATAGTAGACACGAACGCATCCATCCATTAACAAGTGCACACGATACTCAGGTTTTGTGTCTGTACTCGGTCATTCGGCAATAAGTCTTGGGTGCATCTGTTTGCATAGGCATTTATCTCTGTTCCAAAGGCACACACTTGGGTATTTGCAAATAATTACTATTATCATTTATTTTAAGCATTAATGTCAATAATATTTATATTTAATTTTATATTAATGTAATTTTACAATTCAATCCATCCATTCTGTGTTGCAATGGACGTACTAAATGCATCTCTCTGGCTGACCATCTTAACTGGGACTTATTTGGGGGTTAAGCCTTATATTACCAGCATCCTGAAAAATCATGCAAGGGCTTATTTTCCAGTTAGGTTTTCTTTTGGGGGAAAACCAGTAGGTAGTCTTTATAAAATAATATACACTTTAACAATTTAATCTATGTGTATCTGTATGAATGTATGTATACAAAAGCCAGCTCAAATTGTGAAAAAATGTACTGAGTTATTAAATCATTAGAAATTGGTCCAGATATATTTTTTCCAAGCACCTTCCCTGAGATCACAAAATGGGCTACGTTTTTCTTTGAGAAGGTCTATATAATAATTTTCTAGAAAGTATACGTACATTAATACTATTATATGAAGAAAATAGTTGTGTTGCTTTAAAGACAACTGTGACATAAAATTATTTCATCTCAAAAAGATAAAAGATGTACAATTCAATGCCATTTGCAAGGACATGCAAAATCAAGGAATCACTCTTTGATCTCCCTCTGAAGGTCATGTGTGCTGTGTCTGCAGAGTGGATTAGGGGAAATATATTTGGGCTGACTGAATCGGCTCTGGGACCTCAAAATAGGTCTACAGGGTGATACAGTCACAGGGGAAACAAAATGGATATTTTCCACGGCTTCCTTGGACAAATATTCCGGAGTAATTCTTATTCTTTGGGCCACGCCTATTTTTATTCTTTCTAAAATGTAGTTCTGGATACAAAACACTTTGAGTGCTTTGAGGTGCAGAGCCTGTGTATTATCATCAAAACCCTGGGGTTACCTATTTTCATTTAACGAATTCTGTATAGACCTTAGTTCATAGTGAGTTGTACCATAATAAATCTCAAAAAAAGATTTTGTCACTTGTTTACAACAAATAAAAAAACAAACATTGAATGCAATTTAGACAGGTTTACTTTGAAATATTTATTCTCATGTTTTCCCTTGCTATAGTTTGGCTATCATTTGAGTATGTCCCTCTAAACTTCACATGCTAGAGTCATATGACCCCAATGTGACAGTGTTGGGGTGGTAGAATCTTTACAAGGAAGGGTCTTTCTCAAAGCCATTAGGGTGGAGGAGTTCTACCCTTGGGAAGGGATTGATGCAGTTACCACAGAACACAGCTAGTTCCCTTAAGAGCAGGCTGTTGCAACCTAAAGCCATCCCACCTGCACGGTCCCTTCTCCACCCAGCTACTTCCTTTTCTACTTTCCATCACATTGTAATAAACTCAGAAGGGGCCTTACCAGGGGCTGTACAGGTGGGGCTACTCAATCCAGACTTTCAGCTTCCATGAGACAAATAAACTTCTTCTTTAAGAATAAACTATGTGATATTGTGTTATAGCAACACAAAATGGACTGATACATCTTTTAAATTAAATATTAAGAAGAGAGATGACAGAGATATGACAAAATGCAAATCTATTCATGATAATTTTGATGTTGGCTTGAACGCATTCTATGTCTACCAAAATACAGCCTAACCACAAACTACCTTGGCTTCATAGGTCTCAAAGAGCCAGAGAGAGAAAAATGCCTTCCGTATTTCTCATTCTTGCTGGGACTTGGCCCTCCATCAGAAAATAAATTCTGTAAGGGTGAAGGTCATGTCTGGGCAAGTCATAGGATCTATCTTATAGTGATGTTTATCTATTAAGTAAATAAACAAAAGTATGTTGTGTAGATTCACTTTGGGTAAATAACTAATTCTCTTTTCACAAATTCTCAAAGTTGTGGAGCTTCCTTTATTAACTGCCCGGTAAATCTACCAGTATCTTCAAGGCACATTTAACAACTTTCTGCCAGTGATGTGACTCTTCAGTATAATTTACAAGTAGGTGAGACATTCCAAAGGTGTCAGATTAGGTACAGATACTCACACTGTGCTTTATCACTGGTGCCTGCTAAACTAATCATGTCTTAATTCTTCCCCAACATTATCTGGCTTGCTGAGATTTCCTCTTGATTATACACGAAATTATACCCAGGCACTTCAAACTGGAGTTTGTTCCCTTTGTAGAAAGAACCCAAAGTATGTGGATCACAGTATCTTGCACATAGTTTAATGCTAAATATACCTGTGGAATGAATACATAAACCTAAAATCTATTTTAAAAGACTATCAATTGACAATGATATCTGTAATTCTCTTCTGTAAGAATGATCGTATTGGGTGTGATCTAAAAATTCAATGCTAAAAAAAGAAATTAAAATCTCTCTGAAAAACCCCAGAACAAACAACACAGGTTTTCAGAACCAATGTTTATCCAATAAGGGAAAACATTTTCCTCTTCTTAATCTTTTTTTTTTTTTTTTACCAATTTTCTGTAAGAAGCATCTATTATATTTATGATGGAAAGATAGTTTTAGAAATTTTTCCATACATTTTTAAATATAAGAAAGTAGGAAGTTCCCTTATATAAAGGAAAATTCAGACAGCCAAACTGGAAATTTCAGTTCACATAATCAAACTCTGCTGTCTACCTCATGCTGATTTGTCTATCATTTAGAAAATGCTATTTCTTCGCTGTCTCTCCCCATTCCTGTGCCTCCCCCACTGCCTCCTAAGACTCTCCTGTTTCCTCCACCTGGGTCCAGCTAAAACAAGCACCCATCCATAAGGTCCCGGGTGGTCCTTACTCTTGTACCTTCCTCATTTCTTTGTCCTCTACCCAAACCATGAGCTTCTTGAGGACAAGGACAGCTTCACTAATCTTTGGATCACTGGGGCCTAGCAGGATGCCCCGCACTTAGTGAGACCCCATCAATGCTCACTAAGTTACTGAATTGAAATCATCTTGAAGGAACTTATTTTCTTTAACATAAAGCACATGTGGGGAAAAAGAATTACACCCCAAATTTGAAAACGTATTTTTACAAAGCATTTATTATCTTTGTGTAAGAAATTCCAATTGTGTCACTTTTCTCCACTGATTAGCCTGCTTTTGCCAAGTGACACCCAGGGCAGACAGTTGGCATGGCAATCCTTTGGAGGCTCCTCAGCATCAACAGCTGCTGTACACCTCGGTAAGGAAGGAAAGGATCTACTGTCTGTAGTACAGAGCTGGAGGGGCTCTCCAAATCAGTCCTCTGAGAACTAGCTTCCTCTAAAATATCTTTTTAAAAAAATTATTATTATACAGCACACATATTATATATGTATAAATTATTATCCAGCATACATATTATACATCTGGCTGATGTGGGGACACTATTCTCTCAGTTAATACTGTAACCCAAGTGGAACTCAGACATTTGGGCACAAGAAATTCCTAGTGGCTCAGGTGTTATTGGGCTGGAAAGTATACCTGGAAGAAGCATATACAGCCCACGCCCTTAGGGTCTAGGGTTAGAAAGGGTGGCATGTGTTAGCCAGAGATTTTTGCATTGCTCCAAGATTTATCAAGTGATTTTATCATCCTTGTGGTTCATACATTGTATCAACTTGAGTCTAGAAGCTTAAACTTAGTAGTTCTATATCCAGGGGTGAAAAGGACACACCCTTCCTGTTCTAGGATGTTGTTCATAGTGTCAACTTGAGAAGTTTAAAAGTTCAACTAAGTGATTCAGCAGGGGGCAGAGGTCCATACTTTGTAAACATCCTCAGCTTGTGGA